TTGATAAGATGGGTGCTTAGACGAGGGCATCAAAATCTACATACAGAGTAAAAGAAGTACTACAGGTCATTTGAAGGGTAAACATTCAACAAATGAATAGATCGTTGTCAATGTCTTTAAAATGCTATCTTCTCACAGGTGCGAGAACTTGAGGCAGAAGTTGAAAGTGAACAGAAGCGCAACGTTGAAACTGTCAAGGGTCTACGCAAACACGAAAGAAGAGTCAAGGAACTCACTTATCAAGTAAGGAAAGTAGCCTGTCTAGGTTTTCACCCTAGTCTGCAAGGGATCCAAAGTCAAATGTACAACAAAAAGGATGCATTTGGTCTTCCAAGACACTAACTCTTTAAAATATTATTTCAGACTGAGGAAGATCGCAAGAATGTCCTAAGGCTCCAGGATCTGGTAGATAAACTGCAAGGAAAGGTGAAAGCTTACAAGAGACAAGCTGAAGAAGCGGTGAGTTCAGAATCCCTTGCTGTGACTGGGCAGCCTCCAGTTCTCAGAAATGTCCCATCCAATTTAGTTAAAGGGATGAAAGAAAATAAAGGTAAAATGAAGAAAGATGAAAGGGAAATGGTTCAGTGGAGGTCTGAAGATTGAGAAGAAACCAACCACCTGATGAGCCAGGGGAAAATGTCCTAGGGACAGGGAAGAGTGAATGCAAAGCTTTTGAGTAGGAAGAAGTTCCATTCAAGAAGCAGAGGAACAAAGGAGGTTGAAGTAGCATGGGGCTGAGGAGCAAGGTAGGAGGAGGATCTCAGGATCTTCTAGCCCATGATAAGAAGTCTGGCTTCTATTCTACAGTGAGACCCTGGAAAGCCACAGGAGGGTTTTAAGTGGGTTAGTCACGCCCTGGTTTTTATTTTTTTAAAAAGACTATTCTGGTTATTAAGTGGAGAATGATTGTCAGATAACACAGGTAGGGACAGCAGAACATTTTAGGAGGCTTTTCAGGTGGTCCCGTGGCTTCGATTAGGACAGTAGCGGAGTGTAGAGAGAGAAGCGGAGATGTTTTGGAAGTGGAAACTATGAGATATGCTAATAGGTTACACTTGGGAGGTAAGAGAAAGGAAATCAAAGGTAATTCACCAAATCATGGTTTGAGTAGCCAGGTGGATGGCATATTATTTATTAAAACAGGGATTTAAGGGAGGAACAGATTTTCAGGGCAAGAAGAAAACAGGAATTTGTTTCAGAAACATTGTTTGCAATATCATTGTATACACAAGTAAAGTCGTGTCAAGTAAGCAGTTAAATATTAATTAAGTCTGGAGCTCAGAAGGTTTCAGTTTTGTTCACACCATGGATTCTTAGCATTTCACCTTATCTCATTTCCCCAGTCTGTGATTCATCTGAAATAATAAAGTAATATCAATTTCCTAAGTATGGGAGTATGGATATACATACCTACAAATCACAAATTAGTTCTTCTGTTCATTTATGGTTTTTATTTTTCCCCTGACCTCTAAAGTGAGAGAGAGAGAGAGAGAGAGAGAGAGAGAGAGAGAGAGTTAGTTAACTTTTCTCTACCTCTTACTTTCTTTATCTGTAAGAAAAAGATCTGAGGGTTTTTTTCAAACTCTATTATGTGGTGATTCTAAGTTTTATTAATGTTCTAAATGTGAATGCCACCTTTTGGATGGTTCTAAATGAGTCTTTTAAAAAAGAATGATTACTAGAGACTAAACCAGAACTGATCTTCTCAAATTCACTGCTATGTATTCAAACACAATCAGAGACCACTCAGACTATTTTAAGAAACACTCAATTTCTTGTTTAATTCCTACACTGCCTTAAGTGGGAATAATTTATACTCAAGGCTATTAGTTTGGTATAATATAGATTGCGTATTTGCATTTTTAAAAGGTCTGGTTCCATTCTCAGGATTCTGGGGTAAAAAAGAGGCTGGAAAACTGGCATATTAGGAGTAGCTCTAAGACGTTTAGAAGTTCTAAAAGCAGAACCTTCAGAACATCTTAAAGACAAATGGTGCCTGTCCTTGTTATCTATGAGTTCAAGATGCATGAAAGGAGTTAATACATAAAAGTTTAAGAGCATTTCTCTAGGTTTTTACAAAAGGCTTACTAGAGTGAATCATTTTTAAGTAAAAAGCAAATTCAAGACCCACTGACCTAAGAAACTAGTTCTGAACCGTATTCGCTCCTAAATGCATTTCCTTTCATTCTCAGGAGGAACAATCCAACGTCAACCTCTCCAGGTTCCGCAAGCTCCAGCACGAGCTGGAAGAGGCCGAGGAACGGGCTGACATCGCTGAGTCCCAGGTCAACAAGCTGCGGGTGAAGAGCCGGGAGGTTCACACAAAAGTCATAAGTGAAGAGTAATTCATTCTAATGCTAAAAGGTGACCAAAGAAATGCGCAAAATGTGAAGTTCTTTGTCACTGTTTTGTACTTACAGTTTTTGCAGATAAAAAATTTATTTGCAAAGAACTTGTGAGTCTATTTTTTTTCTCCCCCGCACTGTGTCAATTTACCTTTTTATGCGTCAAATAAAGAAACAAACATTTTGCTTGTATCTTATGGAGAGGGATTTAGTCACCAGAAATAAAAGGTGATAGGAGCAGCCAGGCCAATCCCGGTTAGTAAGTGCTCTAAAGCATGCATGCCCCTGTGGCGAGCAGGTGACGCCTGGAGGCAGACAGATGAGTATTTGGTAAACCTCACTTGGCAAAACATCAACTAGTTCTCAGGAAAGCAGATTTCTGTTAATAAAGTGAAAAGTCTTGGTCCCAAGACTGAGTAAAAACATAGTAAGGCATTAATTACTGACATAAAATAAAAGAAAAAGTAAAAAGTTTAGATTAGACACTCAAAAATATTTCACATGCAAAACTCTCTATGTAACTCTCACTATAACAATGTGAACTATTAAATTGGGATTTGGATCCCTTGAGAGGTAAATGCGTCCTATAGATTTTTCTGGTCCTTTTTAAATACAGAGGTGATTTTTAGATTTTTGTTACCTACAGATGTTTAGTTGTCTGTTTTACTGAGCCTCTTCCCTTGTTATTACATTAGAATGATAAACAGGAGTTAAGAATGAATATATTTTCAGTATTTATTCTTGTCTCTCTTTGGAAACTTCTGTAACTTTTACAAGACTTCCTCCTGGGACTTCTGATAGCAATAGGCCAATTAATACTTTTAAAAAGTCGGTTCTCTATTCTCATTATTTTCTTTTGGTTGCTACATTGTGCCTTTCTATAGTGCTGTGGCAATTATCACTATTATAATGTTTAATGTAGTAGTACCACCCTACTAGAGATTTACATGCGCTGAGGGCTTTCTATTTATCTCATTTTGTAACAGACAAGGATCAAGGAAAATAACACATATCTTGTCTAATCAGATTATACAAAGGTCTTACAAGACTAGTATACAATCTATTTAAGAGAAACAATACAAAATTAAATGGTTTCACTTATTATCCAGTAGGTTAAATTATCCAGCTGCACACCTCTGGACTTCAATTCCTGGGGAAGAACCCCTCTGGGTTGTTACGGACCTTCACTGATTTTCTAATGATCACTGATGACTCTAACACTGCACCTTGAGCTGACTTTGAAGCAATTATAAAGCAATTTTTAACAGTCCTTAATATATTATCCAATTTTCTGACAGAGGTTACAATGTAATCGTCCAATTCCACATTGCCGTTTTATTTGGTTATTCACTTGTTGAGGACAATGAATAGATAAATAGACAAATGCTAAGCAATGAGGCAGGAAAGGAAGGTAGGATCTGATAATAGTAACCGATCCTAGTTGTACTGTCACCTGATGCTGACTCTCCTGAAAAACATGGGATTTCTTATGCCCCTTGGAACATCCCCCGACCTCTTGGCTTAAATTGAAATCTGCCTCTTCCTGAAAACAATGTTTCCTTGGAAGGCATCTTTAGAAGTAACCATTATTCTCTCATGCTTTAAGAATTCTTTAGTCCTGATCTAGAAATGATCTACCCCCTCTTAATCCCTATTGCTGCTTATCGTCTTATAGAAAGCTTTTCCTTCTTTAAGATTCATGCTATTTGGCTTTCACCTACCTACTACTGTCATCTACTGACTTTCATTCATTAAGATTTTGACACTTCTTACCTCTCCACCCAATTATTGCCACATTTCTGGGAGGCTTCAATGTCCACATGGATGATTGATTGAATACATTGCCTCCCACCCCCCACTGCCTTCTCTTCCACTCTGCCTTTCCCACAGCCTCACTCTAGAAAATGCCCAGTCTTCTAAGACACTTAATCAAGTATCTCTTTCCTGATTTTCTAGCTTGATTGTTGGACTATCCCCAGCATAATAGTTCTTCAACACCATTGAGACCTCCAGTATTCTGGCCTTTCACTTTTTCCACATTCATCATCCCCTCTTTTATCTTCATTTCTCTCGCAACTAGGGAAAAATTCACCAACTATCTTTTTGTCTACTCTCTTGACAATACCCTAAACAATCCTTGCTATCCCCTATCCCCCTGTCATACTTGAGTGTAAAAACACTAAAACTGAATGAATCTGATAATTCACTGCTCCACACTTCAGAGAAAATGGTACAACTATAAATTCCCTACCACTAACCCCACTGGGCCTTCTGTGCTGGAGTTACATAGTCAACTTGCCCAATCACTCTATTTCTTTCTGTATCAAATCTTCTCCACTCTCCTCAAATCTCCAATTCCCCTTTTGGCCCTAGGAAATGATCTCACATCCTGCTTAAAAGAAAAAGTCGATGCCATCGGATGGAAATGGACTTAGATTTCTACTGCCAAGCCATCTTCTTTCTTTCACCGTGGAGGTTTCTCATCCAATTAGAGCCACTTGCCCAGCTTGGCTCTGAATTTCATTTCCTCCTCCTTCCTTCTTAGACTATTTGTACGGTAGACCATCCTTCTTCTTCACTTTCATTCCCAATCCCTCCCACTTCACTGGATCATTTCTTAAGCTCTCCCTTGATCCTATTTTTCTTCCTCTAGTTATTGTCTCATTTGTCTATTTTCCTTGACAAGAAAATTTCTCGGAAGAGTCGTAGATCTAGTCTGTCTCCACTTTCTCACCTCTTACCTTCTCCTCCACTCACTCCAAAATGGCTTTCACTCCGTCTACTCCATCGAAATGGATCTCACTAGGATCCTGTGACCTCCTTGCTAAATCAAACGAACTCTTCACAATCCTTAATTAAATCGGCCTTCCAACTGCATATTATACATCTGGTCATTCTCTCTTATTGGAAATGTTCTCTTCCCTTAATTTCCAACACTCTGCCCTGCTCTGGCTTTCTTTATAGTTCTGGCTCTCCAGCTTCTCTTTTCCTCTCCTTCATCAGCTCATCTGCCTCTGCTTAACTGTCAAATGTTTTTGTGAACTCAGTGTGCTGTGGCACAAGTTTCCATCTTAGGCCCCTCTCTTCTCACTTACATTTTCTCCTTGGTTGATCTCATCTACTCCTTCGGCTTCTATTACCATCCATACCCTATGAATTCCAAATTTATATCCTGGCTCTAGTTCTCTGTTCTGAGCTCCAGACTTGATATCTCTGCTAATAAACACTTCAAACTCAACACAATCAAAATGAATTCATGATCTTCCCCTCCTTTCCTTAAAACCTCTCTTGTATTCCTATACTGTTTCTTATCAGAGTGGATAGCAGCAGTAACTCACTTGCTCAAGCTAAATATTGAGGAATCATCCTTGAAGTCTACCGTCCTCATTCACCCATAGCCAATCAATGGTCATGTTTTTTCGTTACTACTTCTAAATACACATATCTTTCAAGATCATCAACTTCTCTCTTTCTTTTTGTCATAGTCCCTGTCCAAACTGCCATCATCTACTGCCTGGTCTCTCACACGTCTATTCTTCCTTCCCAAGTCTAAACCATTCTGGCAAAATCTAAACTACAGCCAGAGAGATCTTTTTAAAAACAAGAATCTGAGTGGATCATTCTGTAGCTTAAAACCAGCCCTTTGCTCTTGGCACAAAGACTGAAATCCTGAAGATTTCTCTTGCTCACATTGCAAGCTTTGCCTTATGGTTCTCTCCTTTTCCCTCTTTATGTTTCAGCTGCTCTGACCTCCTTCCAGTTCCATGAATATATTCAGTGTTCTCACATCAGGGACTTAGCACATGCTGGTCCCTCAGCTTCAAAGCATCTTTCTCACCTCTCATCTTCATACTTTGACTAGATATTTGACTAAATCTCAGCTTAAATCTCACTTACTTAAGAAAACCTTCCTAGACTCTCCAGAATAGGTCAGATTTCCCTATAATATGTTCTCTTCACTGATCACTTACTGAATTATAAAGACTGTCTTTCTCCCTCATTAAAATGTAAGCTACATGAGTGTAGGTAAGGGGTCTTCTTCATCCCTGTATCACTCCATTTGGCATTGTGCTTGAGTAGAGTACATGCTCAATAATTATATTTTGAAAGAATGAATAAATGATGTTCACATACTTTTGAATTTGCTTCCTGCATGCCCGCCAGCTCTTTCCATTTGGCAAATGTTTACACATTCTTTAAGTCTCAGCTTAAATGTTACTCCCTTTAATGTCTTCTTTATGAGTCAAGACATTCACTCTTACATGTTCTATGACACCTATGTAGATTTAAATGTTCCTTTTCCATATTTTACTATCACTGTCATATTCTCCTTGCTCCTGTTGCCTCTGGTCATAGTGCCCATTCACCCTCTTTGTAAGTTCACCCTATTCATCCCTAAAGGCACCAATCCAAGAAGGCTTCACTAGTAGGAAGGAGAACCTCTATAGCGCAATTACCTAATACTTCCTCCTGTTCAATTATCCTCTCCTGTCTTATCTCTCTCATTGAATTATTCCATCCTGTCTTATCTTACATTCAGTTATTGCATCCTGTCCATATCTCCTGCTCATTTACTGTTTCTTGTCATAACTAGCCTGTCTAGTTATTTCATCCTTTATTATCTCTCCTGCACATTCATTGTATCCTATCTTATCCCTCAGTTTCATTTATTGCAACTTGTCTTATCCCTCTTCATCATTTATTGCCGCCTGTCTCATCTCTCCCAGTTATTCTATCCTGTTTTGTCTCTCCCATTCATTTTGCACCTTGTTTTATCTTTCCTGCTCACTTATTGTATCCTGTCTTACCTCTGCAGTTCAGTTATTCCTTCCTGTCTTATCTCTATGTTCATTTATTGCATCCTGTCCTCTTTCTTTCTCTCTTTCCCTCCCTTGCCCTCTCTCATTTATTGTATCTTGTCTTATCTCTCTTTTTTAGTTATTCCATCCTATCTTATCTCTCCTGTTCAGTTTTTATATCTTTTCTCCTTTCTCTCTCTTTCTCCCTCCTTCTCTCTCATTTATTGCATTCTTTCTTATCTCTCCTCTTCAATTACTGCATCTTGTCTTATGTCTTCTGTTCAGTTATTCCATCCTGTCTTATATCT